TAATAATAATAATAATAATAATAATAATAATAAATATTTAATGATAATAATAATAATATTTAATGATAATAATAATAATAATATAAAATAATAATAAATAATAATAATAATAATAATAATAATAATAATAATATAAATGATAATAATAATGATAATAATAATAATAATAATAATAATAATAATAATAATAATAATAATAATAATAATAATAATAATAATAATAATGATAATAATAATAATAATAATAATGATAATAATAATAATAATAATAATAATAATGATAATAATAATAATAATAATAATAATAATAATAATAATAATAATAATGATAATAATAATAATAATAATAATAATAATAATAATGATAATAATAATAATAATAATAATAATAATGATAATAATAATAACAATAATAATAATAATAATAATAATAATAATAATAATAATAATGATAATAATAATAATAATAATAATAATAATAATAATAATAATAATAATAATGATAATAATAATAATACATAATAATAATAATTAATAATAATAATAATAATAATAATAATAATAATAATAATAAATAATAATAATAATAATAATAATAATAATAATAATGATAATAATAAATAATAATAATAATAATAATATTAATAATAATAATAATAATGAAAATAATAATAATAATAATAATAATAATAATAATAATAATAATAAAATAATAATAATAATAATAATAATAATAAATAATAATAATAATGATAATAATAATAATAATAATAATAATATAATAATAATAATAATATATAATAATAATAATAATAATAATAATAAATAATAATAAATGATAATAATAATAAATAATAATAATAATAATAATAATAATAATAATAATAATAATGATAATAATAATAATAATAATAATAATAATAATAATAATAATAAATAATAATAATAATAATAATACAGAAAGCTCCTTGGTTATGCAGAGCATTTTGGGCAACTTAGGTTGTTTGTCCCCAGGATGCGACCCACACACCAGTCGGATAAAACCCATGTACCTACTTACTGCTAAGTGAACAAGGACAGCAGGTGTCTTAAGGAACCGCGCCCCTCATATTTCCATGCGTATCGGGGATCGAACCACGGACCTCAGTGTGTGAGCTGAGTTAGTAGCGCTGACATGGGCATAATTCTATCATCAAAATGTGAGTCTGTGTTGACTCAGTGTTGTCGTTTATTTTCATTATACAATGTGAGTTGTTTCTAACTGACATGTATCCCACTATCTGTGAAGGACAGCTAACTTCACTAACTCGAAGTTCGTGTGATATAGACAGGTTTAGTATTTAAATTCGTACGAGTTAATGACTCGCGAAATTGAAATGACACGATTGTCAACAACTCAGTGAACTGAGGGTTCGAACCCCTGGCAAGCCAGTGGTAAAACTAGCAAACCAGTGCTCTAACCACTGTACCACGCCGGTCTAAAACAATTCATACAACTAGGTATATTTCTATACCCACACCTTTGAAGGGCTTGCCACAGCTATGTTGATGTGAGATTCCTCTGTGAAAAGCTGTATTTGTAGTTACAGTGGTGTCCCATGCTAACCTTCCTAATGTGTAGTAGTAATGTTCTTAGTTGGGTAAATCTTATTAGGCCAGCAAAGTACAGTGGATAGTGCTCTGGCCTTCTGGTTTAAGGACTGACTTATTGAAGGTTCGAGCCTTGCCTCGTTCAGTGAGTCGAACGACGTGTTAGCACGGAAACTAACACGCAGAGTGTAGTGAAACCTGCGGCGGCAAGTTTGAAAGACGTGAGGAAAGTGACCATCCCTTACACCCCTCTCCTTGCCATCCCTCACTCCCTCCTTCCCCTCCCCAATCCCTCTTTCCCCTCCCTCACCCTCTCCTCCCACACATCTTCATATTCCCCTCTGACTCTGAAGTGACCCCCTACGTCAGCGCTGACCTGGAATATGCTAATCCCCCTGACCCCCGTGGTAGGGCGGGAAGTCACGTAAGTGAGGTCAGCGAAGCGGCCGTAAGCCAGATCACGGAGAGTTTGATATAGATCGAAGTTGGCTGTGAGTCGTCTTTTGTTGACCTGCAAGTTCCTGAAGGCTTCCTGGTACCTGTGGAAGAGAAGGAGCTGGAGTCAGAGTAAGAGCAGAGGTAGACTGACGTAGTCCTTCTCTTACGAAGGAGGCAAGTCCTTCTCAGATCCTACTCTTTTCATTGCAATATTAGCCCACAATACAGAGATGAGAGATTAAACGCTTGCAGCGCCACCTGTATGTGTGCGTTTGAAGAAGTTTAACCAACCAGTGGATTTTTAGTTCAATACGAAGACTGGAATAAATATGTCTAGTGGCTTTATCAGTACAATACAAGGACATAATATGAAGAATTCTGTATAGAAGGTGAGGTAATCAGTCCCTCAGTCTTGGAGTTGGTGAGCAGCACCGTAGTGTTGAAGGAACTGAAGCACAGTCATGGAACTTGGACGTGCAGCAGACGCAGACATTGTCACTGGTAGGCGGGACTCCCCAGAATAAGCAGGTCATACCAGAGGAATGGACCAGAAGTAAGAAAGAAGATCGTGTAGATGTCCTCTGTACCAAGATTCCAAGATGTTGCAATGTCTGACAAGTTGTACGTAAATGGTACACAATTCCGACATCTGTTACACTTGTGTTTAATCCTTCATCTTGTCGGTATTGTGTACCATTTATGTACAAAGTTGTCTAAGTATTGTACATGTGTCTGGGCTCAGGTTCCAGTGTCATCACTCTGCTAGACTGACTGTTGGACAGGAATACGTAAGCCTCCCACCACTTTCAACATTTCCAAACACATTTCAGTTTTCCCTGAATCATTCCAACACTCCGCAACACACTCCAATATACCCAGCAACACTAACATTCCGAAATGCACCACGACATTACTTAACATTCCCAAACACACTCCAGTACTCCCCAGCACTCCAGTACTACTGTTTGACTTACTCAGAGTCCCTTCCAACATCCCCCACACAGTCTTACAACACTTCTCAACACCCACAACACTCTTCAACACAGTGTTACAACACTTCTCAACACCCACAACACTCTTCAACACAGTGTTACAACACTTCTCAACACCCACAACACTCTTCAAACGCAGTCTTACAACACTTCTCAACACCCACAACACTCTTCAAACGCAGTCTTACAACACTTCTCAACACCCACAACACTCTCCAACACAGTCTTACAACACTTCTCAACACCCACAACACTCTTCAACACAGTCTTACAACACTTCTCAACACCCACAACACTCTCCAACACAGTCTTACAACACTTCTCAACACCCACAACACTCTTCAACACAGTCTTACAACACTTCTCAACACGCCACAACACTCTTCAACACAGTCTTACAACACTTCTCAACCGCCACAACACTCTCCAACACAGTCTTACAACACTTCTCAACACCCACAACACTCTTCAACACAGTTTACAACACTCTCAAGAGGCTACAACACCTCCACACAGTCTTCAACACTTTCAAGCACCCACAACACTCTCCATCACAGTCTTGCACACTTCTCAGCACCCACAACACTCTTCAACACAGTCTTACAACACTTCTCAACACCCCAAACACTCTTCAACACATCCTTACAACACTTCTCAACACCCACAACACTCTCCAACACAGTCTTACAACACTTCTCAACACCCACAACACTCTTCAACACAGTCTAACAACACTTCTCAACACGCCACAACACTCTCCAACACAGTCTTACAACACTTCTCAACACCCACAACACCCTTCAACCAGTCTTACAACACTTCTCAACACCCACAACACTCTTCAACCAGTCTTACAACACTTCTCAACACGCCACAACACTCTCCAACACAGTCTTACAACACTTCTCAACACCCACAACACTCTTCAACACAGTCTTACAACACTTCTTAACACCCACAACACTCTCCAACACAGTCTTACAACACTTCTCAACACCCACAACACCCTTCAACACAGTCTTACAACACTTCTCAACACGCCACAACACTCTCCAACACTTTCTAGACTTTTCAAAGAGCAAGAGATTGAAAACCTATCAAGTCTGAGTTATTATTATTATTATTAATATTATTATTATTAGTAGAAGTAGTAGTATTATAATTATTATTATTATTATTATTATTATTAGTAGTAGTAGTAGTAGTAGTAGTAGTAATAATAATAGTAGTAGTAGTAGTAATAGTAGTAGCAGTAGCAGTAATAGTAGTAGTAGGAGTACTAGTAGTAGTAGCAGTAGTAGTAGTAGAAACAGTAGTAGCAGTAGTAGTAGTAGTAGTAGTAACAGTAGTAGTAGTACTAGTAGTCGCAGTAGTAGTAGCAGGAGCAATAATAGGATGAGTAGTAGTAACTATAGCAGTAGTAGTAAAATCTGGAGTAATTATTGCAGTAGTTGAAAGAGCCTCAAAAATCACCTCTCCATTCTTTCCACCTCCTCCAGTATATATTATCTCCATCGCACAGAAAAAAAATTCCACTGGATGGCGAAAAGTCTAAGTAATGAAGACAGGCAGATGTTGACATGTGCTTTATACATCCACTTCCCGGTATAAATTAACACTTCTCATCCCCTAACATCATCCCTCCAACGCACTCCCATCACATTCTCCAACGCACCTCCAACACTTCCTTCAACTCACCTGTTCCTGAACCATGGTGGGAGGTAAAGAAGGACGTAAGGTAGTCTCTCCTCCAGCATTCCAACGTAGGTAGATCGGATGCTTCCCCACCTCATGCCGTGGTCGCTGACGAAGAAGAGAGCCGTGTGATTGAGAGCCCCCAGCTCCTGCAGCTGCCGCAGGTAGCGCAGGTGCGGCAAATCAGCGTGTCGCAACATGTTGATGTAGTCGTGGCTGATGCTGGCCGACCAATACAAGCCGAAGGTGGGAGTGTCAAGGAAGGTGCGGGCCACCTCGATAGAATAGTCCTGGATCACCTGAAGACAAGATGAAGAATGAGTAAGCGTATAGTGGGAAGCAGGGTTAGTAGCAGGCGAGTGTGGGGTTAGTGTCGCCTTATTTGGCAGCCCTAACACTTGTTGAAGAGCACTTTTTACATGTGTCCTGAATACTCACTAAACACCTGTCTCCTGAGCACTCACTAAACTCCTGCCTCCTGACACCTGCTTAACACCTGTCTTGCCCTCACCTCAATGCTGAGCTTGTCGCCCTGGCACACGTTAGAGTTGCCGTGTTTGGCAGTGCCGATCTCCTTCTCCGAGGCCATAAAGAAAGCTCTCCCGTAGAAGTCTGTCGGCTGCTTCACGAAGCCGTTGTGAAGGTAGTTGAATATTCCCATCCACGGCGAGTCCTGCAAGGATATCGTAGGGTTAACGGCGGAAGGTCACGCAAGGATAAAGCAGGATTAACGGTGGAAGGTCACGCAAGGATATCGTATGAAGGACAAACAGGCACACTACCCTAACTGGAACGATACACAGATAATCCACACATAAGAGAAAGAAACTTGTGACAGATTCTTTCGAAAAAAAATACACACACATGATAATTACAAATCTAAACAACTCATAATAATTACAAATGTACACTACTCAGAATCCTTCTACTCACCTCCACATAAGCAGTGACGTATCCATTCCTTTTGAAGTCCTTCCAGATCCAGTGACAGTTGTCGTATTTCTCTTTTTTGGGCACGCAGGAGTGGTTAGCCAACTCGTGGGTGTTGAGGCCGCTTAGTAACGGGATCAGATTAGGGAAGGTATTGTCTCCCACCTTGTTGAAGCCAGCCAGGTCCACAGCTCCTAGCTCCTCCGTCAGGAAACGATATGTCTTGGGCAGGTGGCGGCGCATGTTGAGACGCGAGGCAGAGTCTGTGCCGAAGATGATCACGCTGAGTTTCTCAGCCTCGCTCCTCTCCGGATGGTCTGCAGGCTCAGGGATCTCCTCACTCTCCGCGGTGCTGTCGTTGTCACTGGTGGTGTTTGGATTACTCACATATCCTTCTATGGAGAAGTTAAATGCGGCGGACGCCGGTGGTGCTAGCAGCTTGTCTCGCTGGATGAAGTAGTGGACGTTCTTGTAGACGACGATGCTGCTCATGTTGCAGTAGACAAGAATCCCCTCCTCCTGCACCGTCGTCTGCGCCCCCTGCAGAGGTCGACACCAGCTGCTGTACCTGCAGACACAAGCACAGGTATTCACACCCCTCAGCCTATACCTTGACAACAACCTGAATTTCAGCACCCATATCCAACACATAACCAAAAAAGTATCCAAAACGGTTGGGATCCTCTCCAAGATACGATACTACGTGCCGCAAAATGCCCTTCTCACACTATACCACTCACTTATTTATCCATACCTCACCTATGCTATTTGTGCTTGGGGATCAACTGCAGCAACACACCTAAAGCCAATAATAACCCAACAAAAAGCTGCAGTAAGAATACTCACTAAATCCCATCCCTGGCAACATCCCCCCCCCCACTCTTCATAGATCTAAACTTACTCCCTGTTCAGTACATCCACACTTACTACTGTGCAATCTACATCTACAGGACCTTAAACTCCAATATCAACCTTGACCTAAAACGCTTTCTTGATAGTTGTGACAGAACCCACAGGCACAACACCAGACACAAACATCTCTATGACATTCCCCGTGTCCGACTAAACCTTTACAAAAATTCAATGTATGTCAAAGGCCCTAAAATCTGGAATACCCTACCTGAGAACTCTAGAACTGCAGACAGATTCATCACCTTCAAAATTATCATTAGAAAACATCTTATCTCCCTGATACACCCTGTCAACTAACTTCACGAATACCACCTGGTGGTTCACACTTACACTCATTCACCCATTTGACCATAAACAGAAATATTAATCTCAATCTTAAAATAATGAATCCTGTGATACTCCAATACTGAAACTATGTATTGTGCCAAAACAAAAGCATTCACATTGCTAAACTCACAAACTAGTATTTAGTCACTTAGCCATAATACCAACTTACCTCATAATTTGTAATATTTTAAAATTAAGAATAAAACTAAGTCTGCCCGAAATGCCTAGCCATGCTAGGCGTTCTAGTGGTACACTCTGTAATTATTATTTTACTACATGTAAACCACACAACAACCAAATTCTGTAAACTCAGCATTGTAATCCTTATAGAGAATAAACTTTGAATTTGAATTTGAATTTGAATACACCAAACACCTGACACACCACAATACCTCACCAGGTACATCCAACACCTGACTTACACCACAACACCTCACCAGAAACACCTTTGTTGTGATATAAAGTAGTGTTGGGATAAAGCTTTATTTTCATTTTTATTATTAATTACTATTATTCTATCTATGATAAATTCATTTATGTAAGAATTGAATACAAAAACATAGACCTTTTATTAATAATAACAATAGAAGATTTTCTTTGGCTGTTAGTGTATTTTTAACCTCTGGTAGGATGTCAGCCACACTCACAGCCACACTCACAGCCACACTCACAGCTACATTCACAGCTACACTCACAGCCACACTCACAACCACACTCCAACAACCGCGTTGATCACCAGTGAAACTTTCGATAGAAGGACACGTTGTAGAAGTCATTATATTAAGTGTGCGTGCTGCTGTAAGCGAGGCTTGAGTGCGAGGAACTCACCTCCAGCGGCTGTCAGCAGCGGTAGTGTACAGGTGAGGCTGCTGCTCCACACGGTATATACCTCTGTAACAGCAGCGTACCTCACTAGGAGGAGAAGGAGAAGGAGGTGACCTCTCCTCCGAGCTGCTGTTACTCGTCAGGTCGAAGTAGACATCTGTGTCCTCTCTGTAGACCGTGGTGACAGGCGCGGTGGCATTTGGCAGACCAGAGTAACTGGTGTCGTTGGTTGGGTATGATATGTTGAATGTGGTTGTAGTGTCGGTGGAGTAGAGCTTCTCCTGGTAGACACTGAGGTAGTGGTGGAGGTTGTGTTTAAAGACCTCCTGGTGGTAGTACAAGGTGGTTCCCTGGGTTGAGGTCAGTGCTGGAGGGCCCTTACAGGTCAGCTGTGATAGGTCAGTTTATTCAGACACACATAAGTACAGTTACATGAACCTAGGTGACTACAATTATCATACACAGTAACATATGTGTCAGTTAAGTAGAATAACTTAAAAAAAAAGTCGGACGACCTGACTTATTTCCAATGAACCACGGACACACGGTGTCCTTGCTTCAATTCCCGGCAAAGGATGGAAACATTGGGCATGTTTCCTTGCACCTGTAGTTCATGTTCACCCATCAGTAAAATGGGTACCTGGGAGTTAATCGACTGGTGTGGGTCGCATCCTGGAGACAAAAATTGAGCTAATTTTCCCGAAACGCTTTGCATAACAAGCGGCTTTCTGTGTAGTAGTATGTCACTGATGTCAGCTAGGACTGTATACCTTGTACATGTACTTGTAGAAATTAAAGATATTATTATTATTATTATTATTATATATTATTATTTTATTATTATTATTATTATTATTATTATTATTATTATTATTATTATTATTATTATAAAGCCCAGCTGTAGGATACAGTAGAAGTCAGCCATGATTATAACATTAAAATTTAAAACAGCTTATTACATATATTGCTGTAAAAAATTAAGCCTGGTGGCTAAAGCTCCCGCTTCACACACGGAGGGCCCGGGTTCGATTCCCGGCGGGTGGAAACATTTCGACACGTTTCCTTACACCTGTTGTCCTGTTCACCTAGCAGCAAATAGGTACCTGGGTGTTAGTCGACTGGTGTGGGTGGCATCCTGGGGGACAAGATTAAGGACCCCAATGGAAATAAGTTAGACAGTCCTCGATGACGCACTGACTTTCTTGGGTTATCCTGGGTGGCTAACCCTCCGGGGTTAAAAATCCGAACGAAATCTTATCTTATCTTATCTTACGCTGATGCACTAATTAAACCAGTATCTCCTGATGCTTATCACAGAAAACCCAATTATTCGACTTTAAAGAAAATGGATACATGCATGAACATAGAGGGGGAACTATCATTCAATATACAAGTGTTGGAGAGTAAGTTAGTGATCTTTATTTACTACAAGTACATGTACAAGGTTTACAGTCATAGCTGACAACAATGACTAAGTAAGTAAGTAAGTAAGTTTATTCAGGTATACACAAATACAGTTACATAGAATTATCATACATAGCAGCATATGTGTAGAGAACCTGGGATAACCCAAAAAAAAGTCAGACAGAGTGACTTATTTCCATTGGGGTCCTTTACTACTACTTTATAGAAAGTCCCTTGTTATGCTCCGCATTTCGGGCAAATTAGGTCAGTGTCCCAGGATGCGACCCACACCAGTCGACTAAATAATCAGAAATGGTTAACAAACACAAATATGTTGATTCATCAGGCAACTCATTATTGTAACTACAGAATCTCAATATAAACTTGCAAAGAAATAAAAATTGTATTGTATGTACAACAGAAAATGCAACTACCCTTAAGAAATTAGTTACCCGAAATATTTTATAACAGAAAACAGAAACTATCCACAATAAGAGAAAACGGGTACTTGTATCAAGAGAGAAGGGAAACTCGTGTATCAAGAGAGAGGGACAATTGTCACCCACCATAATGGGGTTGGATATGAATCTGGTGATGGTGTGATGGAAGGGATCAAAGTCTGGTATAATGCAGCCAGGGGTATGAACCAGGAAGCCTTGGTGCAAGTCTCCTGCTGCCTGGGTACTGCTCTCAAGTTCCTCCTGCTGCTTCTGTGCCCCTGATGTGAGGGGCAAGGCGTTGAGGGTAGGCACTATAACATCCATGGTGTACTGAGGGTCGCGGTGAACTGAAATTGAGACCACAATTGTGAACTCTGAGGTAATGAAATACAAGGGCAAGTGTGGAAAATAATGTATTTTCCAGAAAAAATAGAGTGTATTTTTTATGTAAATTAATGCAATACATTGTATTTAATAAAATTCATGTTATAAAAAATTGGATATTCTGCGCCTGCGCAGACGAGACTCATCATGTTTGAACTAGTCAACACAAACGTTAGTGAATAATCGGAAGAATTTTCGTGCTCTAGAGGTTAAATTGGGCTGACACCTCTCAAATAGGAGACGAAATTGTTGGTTGTGCATTCCTGCATAACTTGAGATATCAGACGACTGGACAAGACAGCTCCAGGAAACTCAGATAAGCTATCTAAATTGTGTTGTAATTTTGGCCAGTATTATCATCATAAATTTAGTTAGAAAGGTTTTCAAGTAAGATATACATTAATCTCCAGTCAAATTGGTGAGTAATATTAAGATTTATTCTCCTTCTGTTATATAAGTGTGTATAAGTATCATTAATTTTAATATACAGTCCAACAATTTTTATATTTACCAGAATTCCTGGTGTGTATGTACATTTCATTTGTAATTAATAGGTCTAGAGCAACTTGTGGATAAGACAGTTGTAGGTATCGAAGGGGGACATTTCTGCGACCTAGGTGTCCCAAATTCCTACTTGTCTATGTAACTTTGATAAATAATAATTATCTTTGTTATCATTTACTGGTATGTACATTATGAGTTGCATCCAGATAAATGCAATTTTCCACAATTAATTTGCCCGTTGGTCCTTCGAACCAGAGAAAAACAACGGGCAAATTAAATGTGGAAAATTGCATTTATCTGGATGTAACTCATAACAATAAAGGGGAGACATGATAACGACATACAAGATATTGCGGGGAATAGACAAGGTGGACAGAGATAGGATGTTCCAGAGAGGGGACACAGAAACAAGGGGTCACAACTGGAAGCTGAAGACTCAGACGAGTCACAGGGACGTTAGGAAGTATTTCTTCAGTCATAGAGTCGTCAGGAAGTGGAATAGCCTAGCAAGTGAAGTAGTGGAGGCAGGAACCATGCATAGTTTTAAGAAGAGGTATGACAAAGCTCAAGAAGCAGAGAGGGGGATGACCTAGTAGCGATCAGTGAAGAGGCGGGACCAGGAGCTGAGTTTCGACCCCTGCAAACACAATTAGGTGTATTAGGTGAGTACACACAAACACACACACACACACACACACACACACACACACACACACACACACACACACACACACACACACACACACACACACACACACACACACATACACACACACAGGGGCCAGGAGCTCGGACTCGGGGCCAGGAGCTCGGACTCGACCCCTGCAACCTCAACTAGGTGAGTACACACATACACACACACACACATACACACACACACACACACACATATCCAGACTCACACATACACTTCCCCCTCCCCACCGACATCTCACTCCTTCCCCTGATCCCACCCCTCCCTCTTTCACCCTCCCCTTCCCCACCTCTCCCCTCCTTCCCCCTTCTCCCTCTCCCACTCACCCACTTGCTTCTCCCTCCTTCCCCTTCTCCCTCTCCCACTCACCCACTTGCTTCTCCCTCCTTCCCACTCCCCATATTCCCCCCTAAATCCCCCTCGCCACTCCTTCCCCACATAGCCACAGTTCCTCCTCTACCTTCCCCCCCCCCCACACTTTGACATACACACTACTAACCTAACACACAGAATTACATAGGTTTCCCATTCTGAGCAATCAGGATAAAACAAAAATGGTTGCCAGAGAGCAGGAAGAAAAACCAAGTGACAGGAGGAGGAAGCTGCAAAGGAAGATTGGGCAGCAGAGCTCATAAAACGGAACATGAATGGGAAAAGAAACTAGAAGAACTTAGCATGAGAATGAAAGAGGATAGATATGAAAGCAGGAAGTGGGAGGTGTAAGTCAAAGCAGCAGATGCTAGGATACAGAGTTTTAGAAGAGAACTGAAAATCTGAAACAGCCTAAAGAACTAAAGAACATTTTGGAATTGACATCAGAGACTGCTACCTCAGTCACAAATAAGGGGACTGTAGGGAAAGAAGGAGCAAAACTGCATGTAGAAGCTCTATCAGAGGAGACTGTAGTAAATGAAAGAGCTAAGCTATATATGGAGGCCCTAACAGACCACAGCAGAGCCCAGGGAAAGCCGAGAAGGGAAAATGACAGGCCACTGAGCCCAAGTACATTAGCTAGTGAAACTGAAGAAAGGAAAGCTGCAATGGAGGAAATCAAATTGAATGAGGGGATACACAAGGATATGCAGTGGGAGAATGAAAGGGTGAGGTCAGTCTTTGTGTATGGGCTCCAGGAAGTTGAAGGGGAAACATATGAAGCAAGAAAACAAGGGGAAAAAAGCAATTGAAAGCATCATAAAAGCAATAGGAGAAGATGACGTGACCCAGCTGGAAAATTTTCGGAGAATAGGGGGTTAGTAAAAAAAGAACCCGGCCAGTGAAAGTGACCTTCAAGGCAGAATCGACTCGGAACAGGATCCTGCAGGAAAAACCACGATTAAGGACATGCCGGAATACAGGAAGGTGTATCTCGACCGCAACAGAACACAAGAAGAAAGGCAGAAACTGAGAGAGATGGTACAAAGGTGAAAAGAGGAAAGAGAGGGGATGGAGAAGACAGACAGGAGATCCTAGACACAGGAAGAAAATCAAATACAGCCTCCCTCACAACTTCCTATAGAAGCCTCTCAACCAGGTCAACCCCAGTGCAACCAAACACTCTAAACCAAAACACCCATGCCACATCCAATGCCCCCACCCACTGCATTACAAACTCCACCCCCACAGCAACCACCCATAGTTCCTTATCAGGTCTCCCACTTCCCCAACCCCAATACACCTCCCAGACCACAATCTTAGAAAAGAAGTTGAAGGTGTGGTATACAAATGCAGATGGAATAACAAATAAGTATGAGGAGTGGCACGAAAGAATCAAGGAGACATCCCCAGACATAATAGCACTCACAGAAACAAAACTCACCAGAATAATAGCAGATTCAATCTTTCCACCCGATATCAAATCCTCAGGAAAGACAGAGGGAGGAGAGGGGAGGAGGATTGCACTGCTCATTAAAAACCAGTGGGGGGTTGAGAAAATGGAAGGAATGGATGGCACGGGCGAAAGGGACTACTAGTAGGAACAATCCAGTCTGAGGGACATATGGTAATAATTGCAGTAATGTACAACCCACCACAGAACTGCAGGAGCCAAGAGAAGAATACGATGAGAGCAACAGAGCAATGGTCGACACACTAGCCGAGGTGGCCAGGAGAGCACACATGGGGGAGCAAAGTTACTAGTTATGGTGATTTCAATCACAAGAGATTGACTGGGAAAACCTGGAGCCCCATGGGGGTCCCGAAACATGGAGAGCCAAGATGATGGATGTGGTACTGGGAACCTCATGCATCAACATGTTAGAGACACTACCAAGAGAGAGGAGAGGATGAACCAGCAAGACTGGACCTTGTATTCACCTTGAGTAGTTCGGACATCGAGATATCATGTATGAAAGGCCCCTGGGAGCTAGTGATCATGGGTTCTGTGCTTCGACTACATATTGAGCTCCAAGTGAGAGAGTAGCAGGAATAGGCTGGGAAAAACCGAACTACAAAAGGGGAACTACTCAGCATGAGGAACTTCCTTCAAGACATTGAATGGGAGAGGGAACTGACAGGAAACCAGTACAAGAAATGATGGACTATGTAGCAACAAAATGCAAGGAGGCAGAGGAGAGGTTTGTTTCCCAAGGGAAACAGAAATAATGGGAAGAACAGAACAAGTCCTTGGTTCACCCAAAGGTGTAGGAGGCAAAAACTAGGTGTACTAGAGAATGGAAAAGGTACAGAAGACAGAGAACTCAGGAAAATAAAGAAATCAGCCGAAGAGCCAGAAACGAATATGCACAGATAAGAAGGGAGGCTCAGAGACAATATGAAAATGACATAGCATCAAAAGTAAAGACTGACCCGAAGCTGTTGTACAGACACATAAGGAGGAAAACAACAGTCAAGGACCAGGTAATCAGACTGAGGAAGGGTGATGGGGAATTCACAAGAAACGACCAAGAGGTATGTCAGGAGCACAACACAAAATTTAAAGAGGTATTTACAGTGGTAAACCAGTAGGACTCCAGGAAATCAGAACAGGGGGGCACACCAGCAAGTGCTGGATGAGTACATATAACCAAGGAGGAGGTGAAGAAGCTGCTATGCGAACTTGACACCTCAAAGGCGGTGGGACCAGACAACATCTCTCCATGGGTCCTTAAAGAGGGAGCATAGATATTGTGTGAGCCATTAACAAAGATCTTCAACACATCATTTGAAACTGGGCAACTCCCTGAGGTATGGAAAATGGCAAATGTAGTCCCAATTTTTAAAAGGGAGACAGACATGAGGCACTAAACTACAGACCTGTATCACTAACGTGTATAGTATGCAAGGTCATGGAGAAGATCATCAGGAGGAGACTGGTGGGGCACCTGGAAAGAAACAAGTGTATAATTGACAACCAGCACGGTTTCAGGGAAGGAAAATCCTGTGTCACAAACCTACTAGAGTTTTATGATAAGGTGACAGAAGTAAGACAAGAGAGAGAGGGGTGGATCGACTGCATATTTTTGGACTGCAAGAAGGCCTTCGACACAGTTCCTCACAAGAGGTTACTGCAAAAGCTAGAGGATCAGGCACACATAACAGGAAAGGCACTGCAATGGATCAGAGAATACCTGACAGGGAGGCAACAACGAGTCATGGTACGCGACGAGGTGTCAGAGTGGGCGCCTGTGACAAGCGGGGTTCCACAGGGATCAGTCCTAGGACCTGTGCTGTTCTTGGTATATGCGAACGACATAACGGAAGGGATAGACTCAGAAGTGTCCTTGTTTGCAGATGATGCGAAGTTAATGAGAAGAATCAAATCGGATGAGGATCAGGCAGGACTACAAAGAGACCTGGACAGGCTACAAGCCTGGTCCAGCAACTGGCTCTTTGAATTTAACCCTGCCAAATGCAAAGTCATGAAGAT